AGTCAGACACGACTGAGCGACTTCACTTTCTTTCACTTTCTTGAAAGATAAACTAATACAAATCATTGTCAGAAATACTTTTCTGATCTTACAGTCTCCATTTCAGGTATGAAATGTGAGCTCAAAAGTAAAGAAATTGTAGAAATAAGGATATTCACAGTATTTCTGGGAAAGAAACCATGCGGGAGACAAATGATACACAAGGCAATAAAGTTTTACAAAACCAGAGTTAAAAAATGCACATTCTATAAATATGTTTTGAGATTACTTAACATACACAATCTCATGGTAAGATTGGCCTAAATGAAACTAGGACACCTCATCAGTCTTTTGCATCGTTTTCTGTTGGAAGTGACAGTATCGTCCAGAGAGATTCTGGCCATATATCTGCAGTTCAATAAATATTTATTGAAAGGGTAAATAAATGATTAAACAAACAAACTCAATATTTCTTCTAAGTACCACACATTATTCTCTCTGCTAATTATAATCTGTTATAACTAATTTGTTATATAATATGACATACTATGTAAGGCTCTAGAATAAAGAGTGTGAGATTAGACGAAAGCACTTGAAGACATTTCACAGTCTCAGTGAAAGGACATAGCAATGCTTTTCTTTGCAACTAATTAAGGTATAAGTAGTCTGTCTGTGAAGAATGTATCTAGATAAGACAGTAAAATACACTGTGTGAAATGTATTTAAAAATTAATTATTTTGCTTACCTTACGATTCTGTATTTACTAATTTCAATTTGATGGGTTATATTTCTCAAATAGAAGAGGAGAAACACTTAATACAAAACACAATATATGAGCCTTTCTTCTTCATGGTATTAATTTTTCTAAAGTCACTTGGTAGAATATTGGATCCTAAATTTCCTCTGTGAGCTTAAGCTCTGGTCACTGGGGTTTTCCCAGTAACAATAATGACTGAAGCCACCTCGCAGTCATTCACCAAGTACCGTTAGCATGGCCTCAAATCCAACTTCAAATCAAAGGGCTCTGTTGACCCCACCTCCTACTGAGCTTCTTACCACCCTGGCCTTGCTCTGATACCTGGAATCAACTTCAAGGCATTCTCCAGGTACTCATCTTCAGTGATGGAGTTCCCGTCTAACTCCAGCTCCAGCATGAAATCCCGTACAGTCCAAATAAAGTCTGGAAAGAAACTCACAAATTTGGCTGAATCCTCTACTTCATCAGAGCTGGGAGATGATTTGGTTCTGATCAGCTCTGTTAATTCAGTCACATAGCTGGGATCTTAGCTAAGGAAAAAGAAGTATTCTCCAACACAGTTTCCAGATCTCACCTCAAAACAAGTTTTATCATCATTCCCTTTTGCCCCATTTTCCATCTTCATCAACTATAAGAATGAAGTCATGGGCAAGAAGAAACAGTGTCAATTGCTATTCCCATAACCTCAATGAAACATGGTGGTTCAGTTCCTGAAAGGATACTGCAGCTGCTGCAAGGCCTGATTGTTGATGCTGTTCATGCCGTTGTAGATAAAGGTGCTGCTCAGGAGCACGGCCAGGGCAAAGATCCACGAGTCACTCCTGGAGTCCTCCTAGAATGGATGTTAGAGACACTATTCCGCATGCTCTCATTCAGGCGTTCATCCACTATGACAGCTGCACTGTAACTCAGTTGTAAGGTAAATAAATTTTCAAGACATTGATAAATTCAAACTTTCTGGTATTGACATTTTCCCCTTCAAGTGCTTCAGTGTGATGAGCTATTAACAAAACTGAATGACATCTTATATGTGATTAAAATGTTTAGTACAGTGCCTGGAACATAGAAGTTGTACAATAGTAAGTGGGCCGAGATTGCTTTGCAAGTTTTTCTATATCACAATGTATATTAGAGACAAAAATACTATTTAATTAAACTTATCAACTGCTAACTATGCATGTAGATAGCACAAGATACTTATTTGCTTACTAGGATATAAAGTTCCACATGATAATGCCCACCCTAGACAGATGACTTTCTTGAGGGGCAGATATACATGGGAACATACAAATCAATCCACAATGATAAACAGCCTGGCATGGAATCAAATGTTGTACTGTAAAAGATAAAGTGGCAACTCCCAAAAGACAGAAAAAAATACTCTGTGCATTCAGAGCCAGAATTAATTATGTCTGATAGTGACATTATGGCATTAGGTTGAAAGGAACTGGGCTTTAAAAAATTGACAGAATGTGGATTGGAGTTATAGGGACTCTGCAGGTAGAAGGGCTCACAGAAGCTGATCACAATTGCCAGAAAGTGTGGTCATATAGAGAAATTACAAGATTATTTTATTTGACTGAAATAGTTTCACCCGTGTAGTAGTAGATGTTGCAGCTAAAAATGAGATTCGGAAGGTCATGAGTGACTTTGGAATTGATTACATATATACATATATATATATAGATATAGATTATATATATTGATTATATATATATACACACTACAGAAATGGGCTCCCTGCTTGCCAATGCAGGGGACATGTGTTCGATCCCTAAGTCAGGAACGTCCCCTGGAGAAGGAAAAGGCAACCCACTCAAGTATTCTTACCTGGAAAATCCCATGAACAGAGGAACCTGGCAGGCTACAGTCCATGGGTTTGCACAGAGTTGGACACGACTTAGTGACTGAGTACACAGGCATACTACAGAGATACATGACACACGGTGGGGCAGCAAGGAGTTGTGCTGTGCAGACACAATATACGCCAAGTGATGAAAGGTGAGAACCAACAAACAAGAATACTTTACCCAGCAAGACTCTCATTAAGATATGATGGAGAAATCAACTGCTTTCCTGACAAGCCAAAAATTAAGAGAATTCAGCAGCACCAATCCAGCTTTGTTTGTTGTTCAGCAATAGCAACAGTTGCTCAATAGTGTCCAACTCTGCAAACCCCATGGACTGCAGCATGCCAGACTTCCCTATCCTTCACTGTCTCCCAGAGTTTTCTCAAACTCGTGTTTCCATTGAATCGGTGATGCCATCCAACCATCTCATCCTCTGTCACCCCCTTCTCCTCCTTCCTTCAATCCTTCCTCTCATCAGGGTCTTTTCCAATGAGTCAGCTCTTTGCATCAGGTGGCCAAAGTCTTCAAGCTTCAGCTTGAGCATTATTCCTTCCAAAGAATATTCAGGGTTGATTTCCTTTAGGATTGACTGGTTTGATCTTGCAGTCCAAGGGATTCTCAAGAGTCTTCTCCAGCACCACAGGTCAACAGGATCAGTTCTTCGGTGCTCAGCCTTCTTTATGGTCCAACTCTCACATCCATACATGATTACTGGAAAAGCTACAGCTTTTGCCAGATGGACCTTTGTCAGCAGAGTGATGTCCGTGTTCTTTAATACACTGTCTAGGTTTGTCACAGATTTCCTTCCAGGAACAAACATCTTTTAACTTCATGGCTGAGGTCACCATCTGCAGTGATTTTGGAGCCCAAGAAAATAAAGTCTGTCACTGTTTCTATTGTTTCCCCATCTATTTGCCCTTAAGTGATGGGACCAGATACCATGATCTTCATTTTCTGAATGCTGAGTTTTAAGCCAGCTTTTTCACTCTCCTCTTTCACTTTCATCAAGAGGTTGTTTAGTTCCTCTTTGCTTTCTGCCGTGGCATAAGGGTGGCATCATCAGCATACCTGAGGTTATTGATATTTCTCCCAGCAATCTTGATTCCAGCTTGTGCTTCATCCAGCCTGGCATTTCTCATGATGTACTCTGCATATAAGTTAAATAAGCAGGGTGACAATATGCAGCCTTGACACACTTCTTCCTAGTTGAACCAGTCCATTGTTCCATGTCTAGTACTAATTGTTGCTTCTTGTCCTGCATACAGGTTTCTCAGGAGGCAAGTAAGGTGATCTGGTATTCCCATCTCTTGAAGATATTTCCACAGTTGGTTGTGATCCACACAGTCAAAGACTTTAGCATAGCCAATGAAACAAAAGTAGATGCTTTTCTGGAATTCCCTTGCTTTTTCTATGATACAATAGATGTTGACATTTGATCCTTGGTTCCTCTGAGTTTTCTAAATTCAGCTTGTACATCTGGAAGTTCACAGTTCATGCACTGTTAAAGCCTAGCTTGAAGGATTTTGAGTATTACCTTGCTAGCATGTGAAATGAGTGCAATTGTGTGGTAGTTTGAACATTCTTTGGCATTGCCCTTCTTTAGGACTGGAATGAAAACTGACATTTTCCAGCCCTGTGGCCACTGCTGAGTCTTCCAAATTTGCTGATATATTGAGTGCAACACGTTAATAGCACCATCCTTTAGGATTTGAAATAGCTCAGCTGGAATTCCATCACCTCCACTAGCTTTGTTCGTAGTAATGCTTCCTAAAGTCCACTTGACTTCACACTCCAGGATGTCTGGCTCTAGGTGAGTGACCACACCATTGTGGTTGTCTGAGTCATTAAGACCTTTTTTGTGTATTTCTTCTGTGTATTCTTGCCACCTCTTCTTAATCTCTTCTGCTTCTGTTATGTCCATACTGTTTCTGTCCTTTATTATGCCCGCCATTGCATGAAATGTTTCCTAGTATGTCTAATTTTCTAGAAGAGATCTCTCGTCTTTCCCATTCTATTGCTTTCCTCTATTTCTTTGTATTGTTCACTTAAGTGAAAGGCAAAGGAGAAAGGGAAATATATACTGATCTGAATGCAGAGTTCCAAAGAATAGCAAGGAAGGATAAGAAAGGTTTCTTTTCTTTTATTTCTTTTTTTAATTGAAGGGTAATTGCTTTACAGAATTTTGTTGTTTCCTGTCAAACCTCAACATGAGAAAGGCTTCTTAAATGACCAGTGCAAAGAAATAGAGGAAAACAATAGAGTAGGAAAGACTAGAGATCACTTCAAGAAAATCAGAGAAACCAAGGGAAAATTTTGTGCAAAGATGGGCACAATCCAGCTTTACAAATATTAAAGGAACTTCTCTAGGTGGGAAACACAAGAGAAGAAAAGGATCTACAAAAATAAACCCAATACAATTAAGAAAATGGCAACAGAATTACATATATCAATAATTACTTTAAATGTAAATGGATTAAATGCATCAATGGAAAGGCATAAACTGGCTGGGCTGATGAAAACATGTGCATGTATGCACTTCCACCTACCACATCACTCTACTTAACCCCCCAAATTATATGTGATTATTTTATATTGTTAGGTTAATCATGTTTTATTATGGCTTGCAATTGTAATTATCTTTTATTTTTTGTCTGGCTATTGATTGTGAAAACTGATACACATCTTTTATTATTGTGATTATGTAACTATTATTCCCTTAATACTATTGCATCATGCTACAGCTGCTAAGTCGCTTCAGTCATGTCCGACTCTGTGCGACCACATAGATGGCAGCCCACCAGGCTCCCCCATCCCTGGGATTCTCCAGGCAAGAACACAGGAGGGGGTTGCCATTTCCTTCTCCAGGGTATTTTTCGGGTCCAGGGATTGAACCCAGGTCTGCTGCATTACAGGCAGATTCTTTATTGCCTGAGTCACCAGAAAAGTCTATTATCTTAGTTATTTTTTTAAAAAGGAGTCTTTTGAATGAAGCTTCAAACTTCTGATCCAATTGTGAGAATATAAAGAAATACTATGTTGTAGAAAAAAAAAATCACATGTTAAAATGTGATATAGTATTATTAACTAAAGTTCAGATTTTGTTCAAATTTCACAAAACTTTATGCTTGTATCCCTTGTTTTCATACCTTATTCGAGACTCCACATTGTATTTAACTGCACTGAGCAGATTCAGCTGCATGTAACAAATTCTGGTAAATTCTCTTTTCATTTTTATTCTATTACAAATATTTTCTAGTTTTCCTTGTTATGGCCTTTTGGATATACCCATCCTTTAAAAGTGGCCATTTAATTTCTAAACCCATGGAATTTTTAAATGTCTTTGATATTAATTTCTCATTTTGATATCAATTTCTCATTTCAATGCTTTCTACTCTGCAATCACCCTCTGTTTTTTTTTCAGTCTCCTAACTTTATTGAAGATTTCAGTGGCTAAGTCAAATATCTCTCTTGGTAAATGTCACAGTGTACTTATAAGTATGTGCATTATTTTAACACATCTTTTGATACTGCTGTCTAACATAATTCCACAATGATAAGAGAACAGACTCCATGATTTTAATACCTTTATACTGTGACTCTTTCACACCTGATCTTACATCCCTGGATAAGTTAAAGTGTCTCCTAGTTTATAATCTATGGGAACTTGGATAGAGTTTGTATTCTACTGTTGTGTGAAAATTGTATAAATCTTAGTTATGTTGAATTGGTTCATAGTGCTTTTCAGGTCTACTATATCCTTCTCCTTCTCTGTATATTCATTCCATTAATTTTTGAGATTTTGATATTGAAACTCCAACTAAAATGTTAACTTATCTACATAAAATTTATTATAATATATAGTAGTACTAGATGTAGTTTTCTTCTGTATTTTCCAGGTCTCCTGTAAATGTGTTATCATATTTTCACAATTTAAAAAAGAAAGAGGAAAAAAGAGTAAAGAAGATTCCTTGCCTTACCTTCTCCACATTGCCCAGGCCCTCAGTGTCCAGAAGGACCAGGGTGCAGCTCTCCTTGGAGGGGTGGGGCATACACCACATCCAGATGCCTTTGGTTTCAGACCTCACTGTGGAGCCCAGATGAAAACCTGCACAGAAAGAAGAATGCAATGCACAATAAGACCAGATAGTCCAGGCTGCCCATGGGTTACTTCGGGTAAAATTGTTGAAATGTGAGTGCATGGCTGGGGGAAATGTGTTTTCATTTCAGCAAGGACTGTCAGTTCAAATGTTTACACATGTTCAGGACCTTCCCAAGAAATATTTCTTGTCCCATATCACCTCATAACATTAATGGCTCATACTGTGTCACATTCCAGAATTAATGCAAACTCTATTAACCTTTCTATTTTTATCAGTTCCATATCCTCCACTTTCTGATGGAGTCCCAGCAGTGAGAGGTACCAGCAAGAGATCAAAAGTCAGGCACTGTCCCCTTGGCTTCCACCCTGGTGAGCCATGGTGTCCTAGTACCTCTGCTCCTGTGCCTTCGTCACATCTCCTTTCATTTAGCCCCATCCAGGTGTTCTGGTCTCTGTCACATTCTGGAATCCACTCATTGCCTCTTCACCCTATAGGACTTTCAAGGCTCCCTAGCCATTGTTTCTGCTGCTTCCTTCAGAAAAGTGGAGTGGTTCCTTTTGCTCTGCTTGGGCCCTTGAAATTGTCACTCCATTTCCGGTTACCTGTTAAGTGGATCATCTGTGTCCTTCCAGGTTCTGAACTAATACATTAGCTTTTGTTAACTTGTCTTTTCCCTCCTCATTTTCCCTGTATCTTCCTCGTTTTTGTTCAAAAAATGATGAAATCTTTAGTCATTGACTTGGGTGGGGATAAAATAGCAGGGGATTAGAAAAGACCTGTGAGAACTGTTTGCCCTTCTTTCTAAGGCTTAAACCAACAGAAAGTGATTATGTGAGGTAATGGGCTTCCCTGTTAGCTCAGATGGTAAAGAATCTGCCTGCAATGCAGGAGACCTGGATTAGATCCCTAGGTTGAGAAGATCCCCTGGAGAAGGGAAAGACAACCCACTCCAGTATCCCTGTTTGGAGAATTCCATGAACAGAGGAACCTGACGGGCCAGTCCATGGATTGCAGAGTCAGACAGGACTGAGCAACTAACACGCATATGGGTAAGAAAGCAAAATATGTCTTATCTATATCCAAGATTTTGACTATCTGCCGGATGCCAATGCTCCCTTCAACTGAGAATAGTAATGGATATGATGAAATGCCCAGGGGAGCATGGCTTAGGCCATTCAATTGCCATGTTCTGTGTATTCTCCTCTAGCAGGTATAAAACCTGAGATGATCTGCACCCTTCTACATTGTGATGGCATTTGACTGCTTTCTGATTAATACAGAGCAGTCTGAACTCCCAGTTCCCCCAGGGAGAAAGGCAGGGTATAACTGAAGTTCATCACAGTCAGTTATGTGAGGTAAAGGAGAGACAAAGAATCATAACGAGACAGTAGTGAGCTGCTTCTGCTAGTGAACTTTGACTGGGCACCAGTTTTACTTGTTTGTTTTTGTTCTTCCTGTCATTTAATTAGGATAGTAGTGCCACAGTTCAAGTTCTTTAAAACATAACAAAAAAAAAAGAAAGAAAAAAAAAACATAACCAGGTGAAGGATTTCCTTAGTAATGGAAATCACCTCCTTATTACCTGATGTTATCTTGAATAGAATAAAAAGGAACATTGTGAAACACCTTGACTGTTGAAACATCTTGACTGATATCATTTCTTAGAGTTCTCAAATCTTTAATCACCAAAAAAAATGACCTATTAATTATTTTAACCTGGCAAAGAAAAAGTGCTCTCCCCTGACTAGTTGTCAAGAATTCTTTAAAAGAAAGACAAATATAAAATGTTTTATTTGAGGCCAATGGGAGACTGAAAACAAAAAGAAAGAGGAAGACAGGGAGAAGTCTATCTACA